CGAGAGAGCAGAACCTAGACATGGACCACAAGAATATCCAGAACAATATCAGAAAAGTCAAAGAAGCAGCCCTCCCCCCATCCCACCTCTTCCTCCAGGGCTCAGAATCAAAGCCTAGCATAGACACATGCTGGGCAAGTGCTCTACCACAGTATCACTTACTTTTGTGCCACAGAGACCGAAATGCCTGACAAGGACTCAAAAGGAGAGCGAGTGTATCTTGACTCACAGTTTCACAGGGTTTATCTGTTGTGGCTGAGAAGTCATGGCAGACCAGCTCAGTGCACTGAGGTAGAGGCTCTTCACGCCACGGTGGACCAGTGAGCAGAACAAGCAGGAACCAGGAACTGAGTATTATCTTCAAAAGCCTCTAGGCTTCCAAAATAATGTCACTCTCTTGGGCTCAGACATTCAAAACATGAGACTGTGAGGGACATTTCATATTTGCACCATAACAACCACCAAGTTACATGCCCAGCCCTTGGGTTTTTGAGACCAGATCTCATTATGTAGTCCAAGCTGGCCTTGAACTTAGGATCCATATGATCCTACTGGGTGTTGTGATTATAGCTGTACACCAGCTGAGAAATCTTTGTCAAAGAGGTGTCACAGACTAGGTACTGAAGGCTGAGGAGAACTGGTCATTTGGGAGGCAGAGAGCTCTGTAATGAGTCTTTCTCTGTTCTGCTGGCTCCCAGATAATAACATGGAGACTTCTTATTAATTATGAAAGCTTAGTTGTTCCTAACTAGCTCTTATAACTTAAATTAACCCATTTGTATTAATCTATGTTCTATCACACAGCATTACCTCTCTTCCATCGTGAACGTCCTGTTTTCTCTCCACATCTCCTGGCATCTCCCACATGCCTAGTCTCCTCCTCCTCTTCTTTTCTTTCCCCGGAAGTCCCACCTATCTCTCCTGCCTAGCTATTGGAGTTCAACTCTTTATTTAAAAAAAAAAAACCACAAAAGTATATCTCCACACAGTGTACAAATATCCCACACTAGAGCTCCTCTAAGTAGAAGATACAACATATGCAAAGACTTGAGGGATATGAAAATTTCCAGTAAGCTAAACTCATTGGTACAGGAAGGGACTTTCTGAACAGGACCCTGAGAGCACAGGCATTGAGACCAACAATTACTGAATGGGACCTCATGAAGCTAAAAAGTTTTGGTATAGCAAAGGACACCATCATTCAAGCAAAGAGGCAGCCTACAGATTGAGAAAAAATCTTTACCAATTATACATCTGACAGAGGATTAGTATCTGGAATATACAAAGAACTAAAAAGTCTGAATATCAAGTAAAAGTAATCCAGTTTTTAAATGGGGCATAGAAGTAAGTAGAAAGTTATCAAAATGAAACACAAATGACTGAGAAAAAGTTTTCAGTAAAAACAGTGGCAGCTCATGCTGGCAAGGATTCTGGGAAAGGAGACACTTATGCACTGTGGGAGCGCAAACTGGTACAGCCACTGTGGAAATCAGTATACAGGTTCTTTAAAAAGCTGAAAATCAGTCTACCATAGGTTCAACTATTCCCCTGTTGGGCACATACCCAAAGGACTTTACATCCTACCACAGAGATATTTGCTCATCCATGTTCACTCCAGCTCTATTCATAATAGCCAGAAATGAGAAAGAGCCTAGATGTCCATCCACTGATGGAAGGATAATGAAAATGAAGTACATCTGTACAAAGGAATATTATTCAGCTGTTAAGAAAAATGAAATCTGAAGGAAACTGGACTGAGCTAGAAACAATAATTCTGAGTAAGATAATCCACACCCAGAAAGGCAAACATCACAAGTTTTCTCTTATATGTGGATGTTAGCTTTTAAACTTCAGATATTTTTGTTTTGTTCATAATATCCACAGAGGGTAGGTAGCCACTAAATGGCCAAGGAGGAAAGGGAATTTTCCAAGGCAGGGGAAATAGAATATAGTGTTTGTTATAGAAGGGCAAAGAGAAAATTAAATAGGGAGATTAAGTGGGGACACGGGGTAGAGGAGGGGATATGAGTAGGGACAACTCACACTAAAGGGCTTTTGGAAGGCTGTATGGATCATCCAAGTAGCTTCCTCATGCTGTGGATGGGAACTAATACAGGGGCCCACATCTGGGCAAAGTGCAGAGAGGGAGAGAGACACACAGAGAGAAAGAGAGAGACAGAGACAGACAGAAAGAGAGAGACAGAGAGATAGAGGCCTTGGAGCATTCAGCCCTAAATGGGATGTCTGCACCAAATCCCTCCTCTCAGGGCTCAGGGAACTTGCACAAGAGGAGGTAGGAAGAGTGTAAGAGTCAGAGGGGATGAGAGACACCAGTGAAACAAGGCCTTCTAGACACAACAGGACTGACGTACATGTGGACTCGGAGACTGGCAGCGCGCACAGGGCCTGCCCAGGTCTAAGCCATACGGGTCCAGCTCCGAGAGAGGAAGTGCTCATGAGCCTCCATCCCTACCTCAGAAGCTAGCTCCAACTCATATCCGCTTGCAAAGGAAACAGAGTCTCAGGGGGTATACAAACCACACTCAAGGCTGAGCCCTATGCCCAGCAGTAGACGGCCAACACAGACACCGACTCAGTGGTATTTTGGGAGGTATTTTTGTCTGTCTCATAATGCTTAGTCTGGGATTTTTTTCCCCTTACAGGTCTTTTGCTTATATATTATGGTTTCTGATTTTGTGTTTTTATGGGATTTTTGTGTGTGCAAATACGTGTGTATCTGCATCTGTATGTGTTTCTTGTGCTTTTTCTTCGGCCCCTTTTTTTCTCTTCATTTTGTCCTATTCTGTTTGTTTTTATTTTATTTTATTTATTTTTTAGATGACAGTTTTCTAATGAAAAAGAAAAGGGGTGTATTTAAGTGGGTGGAGAAGTGGGGAGGATCTGGGGGGAGGGAAATTGTAATCAGAATATATAATATGACAAAAATCTATTTTCAACAAAAAAGAAATAACAGAAGAGCTGTATGGAAACCTACTATTGTAGAAGCTTCCCAAAATACATATATACATTCATGGAATTTCAACAAGGTTGTCATATAATAAGGGAGACATCATATGCTACTGGACATCACATGCTACTAAACAAAATCCCAGTACCAGGAATGGGTTACTATCTGATAAAGTTGTTGGCCACAGAGGTCCCATGGAATCCCAAACATTACAGGCTGCTGCCGAGGCTACTAGTCACTCTCCATAACCTGATGGTAAGACTCTTTTGCTGAAGACAGTACTTATTTACGTCATTGAACATGGAGAAATCAAGAAGGTGTCCACCTAGAAGCCTCACCCCTACTGACTAGCGTCCACAGTGCTGAAAAGTCCCATATACACTGCCAGAGGAGAAAGGAATCATCACTCTCTTCCAGCTGCAAATCCTGCAGCTTTTGACAGAGGCCTGCTCAGAAGACACACCTAGTGGTGGTGCACACATATAATGGGAGTAACGAACTACTTTGTGGTTGTATTTAAAGCCCACTCCATGAGATGGCGCCCATAACTGACACTGCTAAAGTGGCCAAGAACCCGAAACTAGGCAGAGCATGGGCCCTGGGGGACAACCTACTACGATTATTCTGCTGAATGCACACAGCTATAAAGTGACTCCTAATGACACATTGCTGGATCCATTGCTCGGTGCATCACTGAGACCTCATCAGACAAGCTTCTTTTTGTAGGACATGGTAAGTAACACAGAGACCCACAGCTGGACATGCAGAGAGTGAGAGACTTTGGCGGGGCACTCTGCCTTAAGTGGATGTTTGTATCACACCCCTCCCCTCAGGGCTCAGGCATCTGTAGAGAAGAGGAGATGGGAAGATTGTAAGAGCCAGAGGTGGAGGTTGACTCCAGGGAAGCAGAGCTCTCCCGACACAGCTGGGCTGATGTGTGTCTGAACTCACAGACTGTGGCAGCATGTCTAAGACCTACCCAAGTTCAACTAGACAAAATCTGAGCACAGAGGAGGGGAGGTGGGCACAAAGTCCTGACCAAGAAACCATTTGCAATTGGTAGCTACTGAGAGAGGGAAGTCAGTTTTCTCAGGGGAGAGACACTGGGTGCATTAACTACACCCCGGGGCAGGCCACATGCTCAGGAGTGGCTTGTCAACACAAAACAGCCTCCGAGTTTTCTTTTCTTTTTCTGTTTTTTGGGGTTTGGTGCTTTCTTTCTTTCTTTCTTTCTTTCTTTCTTTCTTTCTTTCTTTCTTTCTTTCTTTCTTTCTTTCTTTCTTTCTTTCTTTCTTTCTTTCTCTCTCTCTCTCTCTCTTTCTTTATTTCCTCCCTCCCTCCCTCCCTCCCTCCCTCCCTCCCTCCCTTCTTTCCTTCCTTCCTTCCTTCCTTTGACATTGAAAAAGTTGATTGGGGAGGGGAGGGGATCTGTGAAGAGTTGAGGAAGGGAAATGAGTATGTCCAAAACATATTGTATGGAAAAAGTTTTAAAATAAAATTTAAAAAGTTCCCAGGATAGATCAAAAAGAAACTAGAAAGGATTTGTGTTGAGAAGGGCAGGGTTGTGGAGAGGGCAACGTGATTTCATTCTAGGTTTTTTATGGCCAATGTCAGGCCTGGGCAGTCAGTCTGCGGAGCATGTACTTCCTACTGATGGTCATGGGGAGCCATGGAGGATTTCTGGCAGAGGAACAACATTGCCAGCATTGGATTAGAACCTAGAGGCTGCCTAAGCCAGGCTCCCTACATTGAAGCTAGAAGTGTGTTTTTAGAGACTACAGGAAGTGACTTTGCCTGGAACACTGGGTATAGGATGGAGCCTAAACCCAGGAAGGCATGCTCCTGAACTCAGAAGGGCGCAGCGCCCCCGGACCAGCCTTCGGCCTTAATAGAACCTGATTCAGCTAAATAAAGCTGGAGAGGGAGGTTGAGACCTGGGGGACTTGTCGGCTCAGTGCTCCTGAGGTAACCATTAATCCTTCCCCTGGGAGAATCCAGGGACTAGCCCTTTGAGGGGCAGATGCTGGAGAGAATGGAGGGACGCATAAAGGAAGGCTCTGAACTTGGGGAGCAGAGGGTCCTGATTGACAATCCTGCTGACATTCTGGTCATTGCTGCGTATTTCCTGCTGGTCATTGGTGTTGGCTTGTGGGTGAGAAGTTGAGGGGGGGTGTTGATAGGGAATTGCTTCTGGGGCTTGAGGGTGAAGATTTAGGGAGACCTCGGAGAGAGGTGGGAGAAGGGTACTTGGATAGTTGAGGGAGAAACCTAGCTCCAGTAGGCAAGCAAATCTTTAACTCTTTGTCTTCACATGTTGTGGACGATGCAAAAGAGGGTAGGGGGTATCGGTGGGTTTTCATTGAGCTAAGCGTTCTGAACGAGGCCTCTGTTCCCCTGTCTTCATTATGGCTGCAGCCCATATCTGAAGCCGCCAGGTACGTCAGGCTGGAAGCCGGCCATATTTAGGCTCCTGCAGTTGCACTAGGATTAGGGCCTGGCTTGTTTTGGGAGTCTGGGAGGAGGTTGGGGGTCAGGAGACAGACAATCTAGGGAGCCGAGTGCTGGTTAATCTTCAGCCTGAAGCAAGGCTGAGGAATGTGTTGAGGAAGCTAATGGAGTCCAAAGCTGTGCCCCAATTCCAGTTACCCCCCCCCCCCACTTCTGTTTCCCAGTCTATGTTCAGAACCAACAGAGGCACCGTTGGTGGCTACTTCCTGGCAGGACGAAACATGGTGTGGTGGCCGGTGAGAGGGGCTGGGCCACGGGATGGGAGGGACCCTAGAGGAGCAGCCAGCCTCGCTCACCCTCATTTCTGGCCACCCAGGTTGGTGCCTCTCTCTTCGCCAGCAACATTGGCAGCGGGCATTTTGTGGGCCTGGCAGGGACCGGTGCGGCGAGCGGCTTGGCTGTGGCTGGATTTGAGTGGAATGTGAGGTCTTGTTTTCTGTCATAACCCACCCCAGTGGAAACTCCTGGGAAGACCACACCGTGGGGAGGTTCCGGGTGCGGGGATCTGAATGAGTTGGAAAAGCCCAGTTGTGGGGTGAGGTTGGGCGGGGAGCAAGGATCACGTGCTAGCTTGCAGGCAGTAGAGCGCAGGTAGGTCCTGCTCCTGACTTTCTGTATACGCCAGCATCAGTCCTGGTCGGCCTTGACCTAGGTACTCCACTCTGAAGTGGGCAGGTAGCTCACAGATGGAGAAGTACCTGTCCCCATGTTCTTTGGGACTGTGGTCTCTGAGCATCTCGAGACTGGATTGAAGTCTTTTGTGAAAACAAGGAGGCCAAGCCCTGGGACTGGGCTCATCTCCGAGGGTTGGAGAGATGACAGTTTGAGCCTTCCTGGAGGAGATCTCTGAACTGAGCCTTTGAGGATAAAATGCTTGGGTGGGTGGAGGAGGGGAGGAGCCGGGCAGATGCCGAGTCAGTCTGGAGAGTCAGCGCACACAGGTTTATTTGCTAGAGAGGTAGGGAGGGGCCGTAAGGCCCTCCTTGGGGGAGACTGGTGGGAGGTGATGGCCTGTACGTGCAAAACGGGCTCTGGTTAAGGTACCAGGAAGAGGTCAAGATTCCGTTCTCTGCCTGTTCAGGGCCCAGGCTCTCCGGTGGTTGTCCTCTGGGTCCTGGTGTGAGGACTAGTACAGGTCTGCTTTAAGATGCGAAGACAGAAGCGCCCTGGGCTGTCCCTTGTTCCCACAGGCGCTCTTTGTGGTGCTCCTCCTGGGCTGGCTCTTCGTGCCTGTGTACCTGACCGCCGGTGTGATTACAATGCCTCAGTACCTGCGCAAGCGCTTTGGGGGACGCCGCATTCGCCTCTACCTGTCGGTGCTCTCACTCTTTTTGTACATCTTCACCAAGATCTCGGTGCGCATGTGCGGTGGGCAGTGGAGCAAGAAAGGCAGAACCACCCAACGAGGATCTTCAGAGAGCTCTGGAGGGGGCGGGACCAAGGAGAAATGCAAGAATCATGGCGGGGGCGGGTCGGGGGGGCTGAGAAGAGGAGGTCTGAAAAGCTGTGGGCACAGTGGTTAGGACCCGGGAAGACTAGGTCCTTGAAAACTGAGTGGACTTTTGAGGTGTGGCCACATAGGATGGATGGATGGTTTCGGGGGCAGGAGGTGGACCTGCATCACTCACTGCCTTTGCCTCTGATCTATGCTTGTTCTCTCCTGAAAGGTGGACATGTTCTCCGGGGCGGTGTTCATACAGCAGGCCCTGGGCTGGAACATTTACGCTTCCGTCATTGCACTCTTGGGCATCACCATGATTTATACTGTGACAGGTGGCTGACTGCGCGGGGCTGGCGGTGTGGGGCGGGGAACTTGGGGCTGGTGATAGAGTTGGCTTGGAGGTGATTTGGAAGCTCCTGCCCTTCTTGGGTGGTGGAAGAGTTGACTTGGTCAGTCTCCAAGATCTTTGGCTAAATCTGCTACAGTTCAGGATCCCAGATCACACAGAGAAATTGGGTAGAGTGGTACCAAAGCCGGCTTGGAGGCCTGCTGCAGGATAGGATGCAACCAAGGGCTGGGCCTTAGAGGAATCACCCCCGCCATATTACCCAGTTGAGGAAATAGGCGAAGGAGTGTATTGTGGGAATCTTGCACCGCATGGATTCCTGGCCAAGAAAGCATCGGTGGACTCTAAAACCCAACTCTGCTTCCTGGTACCCCAGTGCACAAACTTAGCATCATTTTTATAACGTTTGTTCTCTAGAATGGGTACTTCTCAAAAAAAAAACATGTGTGCCAGGGTCCAGCAGCTGTGCGCTCCTCCACTGACTCGGGGTCGTTGCAGGAGGGCTGGCGGCACTGATGTACACAGACACTGTGCAGACATTTGTCATTCTGGCCGGGGCCTTCATCCTCACTGGATATGGTATGGGGTTTACCCAACGTGGGCGGGCAGGACTTGGGTCTGTGCTGTCACAGAGCTTTTAACTTAGGGGGTCGGAATCTTGCTTGTCTCTGCCCATGTGGGTCCTAAGGAGGGCCTTAACACTTGGGCCAGATCCCCTGACAGCCTTGCCTGCACAGCTTTCCATGAAGTGGGCGGGTACTCGGGTCTCTTCGACAAATACCTGGGAGCAGTGACTTCACTGACGGTGTCCAAGGATCCCGCTATTGGCAACATCTCCAGCACCTGCTATCAACCGAGGCCCGACTCCTATCACTTACTGCGTGACCCGGTGACGGGGGACCTGCCGTGGCCTGCACTGCTCCTGGGACTTACCATAGTCTCAGGCTGGTACTGGTGCAGCGACCAGGTGAGGTCAAGGTTTGGGGTGGTGTGTGTGCGCACACCTGGGACGGAACTTTGAATGTCCCGTGCTGGTTGACAGGTGGGCCTGACACCACCCTTTGGAGTTAGGTTGAAGGCAGGGCCTGAGCTGATGGAATCACGCCAGGGTGGATCTAAAAGTCAGAATCCACTGGCAGGATCTGAGGATGGAAATGTAGTAGGGGGCTCCATAGAGGTAAAGGTTGAACTAGAGCAAGGGTGAAGGCTAACGTCAAGAGGCCATGAAGAGTGGAGGCAAGGCCTGTGTGAGTGAGGTACAAAGATGCCCATGTAGCTGAGCGCCCCCCCCCCCCCCATCACAGGTAATAGTGCAGCGCTGCCTGGCTGGAAAGAACTTGACTCACATCAAAGCTGGATGCATCTTGTGTGGCTACCTGAAGCTGATGCCCATGTTCCTTATGGTCATGCCGGGCATGATCAGCCGCATTCTTTACCCAGGTAACGTCTGCGTCACACCAGGCTCAATAGTACTGTGCCCCAGTCAGCACCTCTACCTTCTTGTGCAAGGACCCAAGTGCCTGTCTCTTATACCATCCTAAGACTTGGGAAGCTGGTCTCTCGGTCCAGCATGCCACCAGGAGCACCATCTCTAGGGTCCCCAGTCCACACCAGGCTTCAGAGGTCCTCCTTTCCCGAGTAGTCTTTCCCAGCCACTTGTGGCTTCTTTCTTGCAGATGAAGTTGCATGTGTGGTACCTGAGGTGTGTAAGCAAGTGTGTGGCACCGAGGTGGGCTGCTCTAACATCGCCTACCCACAGCTTGTCGTGAAGCTCATGCCCAATGGTGAGAGCTGGCGGTGGGTTGCCTTTGGCCAAGCCTGCGGAGACTCCCTATGGGAGGGTCGCCTCTTGCCAGTCCTTCACCACCTTGAACACACCTTGAGTGGCCCTGGCCTGACAGCTCTTGTTGGCCACAGGTCTGCGTGGACTCATGCTGGCAGTCATGCTGGCTGCCCTCATGTCCTCTCTAGCATCAATCTTTAACAGTAGCAGCACACTTTTCACTATGGACATCTACACCCGCCTGCGGCCTCGTGCGGGTGATAGGGAGCTGCTGATAGTTGGAAGGTATGGCCTGGGTCCCATCCCCTGCCCCATAAACGAACCTGGGGTGTGGGCATGGAAGACCAGCAGGGCGACCGGGAAGGCGGGTCCTTGGTGAAATCCGATCGTCTCCAACCGCAGGCTCTGGGTGGTCTTCATTGTGGCGGTCTCAGTGGCTTGGCTCCCTGTGGTGCAGGCGGCACAGGGCGGGCAACTCTTCGACTATATCCAGTCTATCTCCAGCTACCTGGCCCCCCCAGTGTCCGCTGTCTTTGTGCTAGCGCTCTTTGTGCCCCGAGTCAACGAGAAGGTGAGGGGGGCTCACGTGTCGTGGGGACTCTGGGTGAGGCTGGGGCATCTTGAGGAGGCTAACGCTCTTTCTCCTGCAGGGCGCTTTCTGGGGACTAGTCGGGGGCCTGCTGATGGGCCTGGCACGGCTCATACCCGAGTTCTTCTTTGGCTCAGGTAGCTGCGTGCGCCCCTCAGCGTGCCCAGCGCTCCTCTGCCGGGTCCACTACCTCTACTTTGCCATTGTGCTCTTCATCTGCTCCGGCCTCCTCACACTTGTGATTTCCCTGTGCACTGCACCCATCCCACAGAAGCATGTAAGTGCTGGCCTGCGGGGGCCTGGGAGACCAAACATGAACTGTCCAGGATGGAAGGGCCCTCTTCACCCTTTAGCCAGTTTGCTTCCAGGAATGAATGCCACAGAGAAAGACTCAAGGTTTCATCCCGAGTCTTGGTAGGAGAAGGCTGGGACTGCAGTGTCAAGTTTTATTTCCAGGGCAAGCACATTTATTTACTTAAGTGACATTTGGGGGAAGCAGAACAAATGACAATGGCAACACGCCGTGACCAGAACTTTAAGAGCAGTCTGCAGAACTACAACTCTGGGTGTAGACACAAAATCTGGGGCGAAACACGGAACTGGGCAGGGCCACTGTCTTGAAGACTCAGATGAAGAGCTTGAGGTGCAGTGTGAAGGCAAAGGCCAGCCTGGAAAGGAGTCTTGAGTGAGCCGAGCCTAGGCAAGTGTGCAGGCCAGGCCGGGGGCTAGGGAGGCAGTGACGAAGTTGGTATGCCAGGATGGACCTGGGCTGGAGAGCAAAGCTCCACCGGTCCCTTCTCCCTGACTTCCCAGCTCCACCGCCTGGTTTTCAGTCTCCGGCACAGCAAGGAGGAACGAGAGGACCTAGATGCTGATGAGTTAGAAAGCCCGAGCCTGGCCCCTGTGCAGAATGGGTACCAGGAACATGCAGTGGTGATCGAAGGTAAGGCACACCCCAGCAAGTGTCGTGGGGAGCTAGGGGAGCTGCCTCCCCTCACACTAACTGTATACGCCCCATTTCTTCCAGAGGTCCAGCCCCCAGCCCCCAGCCTGCTCCGCCAGTGCCTGCTCTGGTTCTGTGGAATGAGCCGGAGTGGGTCAGGGGGTCCTCCACCCACTGGTGAGGAGGTGGCTGCAACAACCAGGAGGCTAGAGGACATCAGTGAGGACCCTGGCTGGGCCCGTGTGGTCAACCTCAATGCTCTGCTCATGATGACTGTGGCTGTGTTCCTCTGGGGCTTTTATGCCTAAAGTCAAATGTGTTCCGTACCATGAGCCTGAGCCTCAGAGAAAGTGAGGGTAGGGACCTTGTGTGGGTCTCAGAAGAGGAAAAGGGGCAAGAATGTGGTGGGAAGGAACGGGTTCCCTTCCTTTTTGCCTGGGCTCCGGTCTTTGATTGGTTGTCACTTCCCACGAGGTGGTGGCCAATTGGTCACAGCAGTTTGCCTATGCGAAAATAAAGTCACCCTTCTAATACCCTGTTGTGGCCGAAGCAGCCTTGCTCCAGGCTCCTGTCCTGGGTTCTAGGCTCCTGTCCTGGCTCCAGGCTCCTGTCCTGGGCTCTGGGTCTCTAGCCGGGCTGCTCATAAGACCTTCTTTTCTGGAGACAGGGGCCACGTGGCCCTCCACTCATCCACTTCCAGATGGTGCTTCTCTGTCTTCCAGCCAGCAGCCTGCAGTCCTGTGGAGAGGTCACAGGGTGAGGCCAGGAAGGAGGCTCGGGCTGAACCTGGGGACGGGTTCAGGGAGCGGAAACACAGGCTGGTGCAGCCTTTTGCCCTGATTGGGATGATCTATGGCAGAAGATGAGGCTAAAATTTCATTTGCGTAGTCAGAGATCAGCTATAGCACATGGAAAGGGGCAGGGTGAAGTAAGTGCTTTAAGAGCAACCAGGTTTATAGGCTACCAGTGCCGAGAGAGCGTCAGAGACCATCCTGCACACCAGTCCTGTAGGTAGGGAACAGAGACCCAGGCTGAAGACCCAGGCAGGGCCCAAGGCTGAAGGAGCCCGGAGCTGGCGTTACCTTTCAAGAACTTTGGGAACAGTGTGTCCAAGACCCGATGTGTCTCCCTGACGAGCATCCAGCTTTCTTTCTTAGGACCTGGTGGGTGTAAAATCAGAAATTTTCATATTCTCATCGAAACAGCCAGCCCATCCCTTCTCACATCTGCAGTAATCAGCACTAGACCAGGAAGCTCTTACCAGCCCGAGCCTGCTCCCTCAGCTCCGCCAGCTCATTTGGAAGTGGTCCACCTTCCTGCAGGGCTCCAAGAACCAGCCCGTGAGTGGCAGCCCTTAAGACAGCCTCAGGGCCTGCTACTTGGCTCAGAACAACCTGGACCTGGTCTGGAGTGACCCAAGGGACAGACAAAGATCAGACAAGAACTGTTTCTCAAAGCCGTCCACTCGTCTTTCCGAGTCACTCCTCTGCCTGAGGCCACTGCCAGGCGTGGAAGTCCCGCTCTTCCCTTCCCAACTTCAACTTGAGTTGCCTCTTCAGCCAAACTCAAATGCTAAGTTTCCAAGGACAATTTCACAGTAGCTCCAAGAGGAAATTTCTTTCACCAGTGACAGTTAACACCCTTAACACACGACAGACAATCAGCGATCCTAAGAACGGGTTTCCCTAAAAAGGACCCAGGGTAAGAGACAAAGTGATCTCCAGAGAAGCCAATGGGCCACAGTCTTATTTGAATATGTTACAGTGTACAAAGTAGTATTTACATAATCACCCCATTCAGTCCTTAGAAAAATGCCACAATAAGGCAACTTGTGGAGTTGGGGATTTAGCTCAGTGGTAGAGCGCTTGCTATCTATCACTGGTTCTCAACCTTCCAGTGCTGCAGCTTTTTAATACAGTTCCTCATGTTGTGGTAAGCCCCACCTGTAAAATTATTTCATTGCTACTTCATAACTGTAATTTTTCTAGCTATGAATTGTAATATAAATATCTGATATGCAGCCCCTGTGAAAGGGTCATTTGACCCCCAAAGGGGTTGTAACTCACAGGTTGAGAATTACTGTTATAGAGAGATACAGTGAATTCATTAGACATGAAGCTATTAATTTGAATGCATCAAAATTTTAGTCTAGAGCATTCTCTAGGGCACGAGGCAGACTCCCAACTGTCCAGAGTGAAGGTCGGGAGTCAGGGGAGTCAGTGAGGTGGGAGGGGGCGGCACTCACTTCGTGACTGGTCCCAGCGGAGGAGGTATGGTTCCTGATGCCCTTCGACCAGCTGCTTCAGCTCAGAAACACTGATGGAGAGAGGAGCGCACTGGCGCAGGGGGAGCGGGCGGGGGACCCGCTCCGTCACGCCGCGGCTGTAACTCTCCGCTTGCCATTGACCTTCTGCCCACTGCCCATTTCTTCTATTACTTTGCCCCATTCCCTCCCCTCTCCGTCCTCTATACGGTCCTCCATCTCCCCATGCTCCACCCTTCCTTCATCTGGAAGCATCTCTTGCTGAAATCATTATTTAGTTTTGTACACGCACACCATGCATACTGATCAGTTAAATCCTCCCCATACCTCCCACCCCTCTCCATCTTCCTTCTCCCCACAAATCTCTCTCTCATATTTGCTATTTATTTTGTTGTGTGGCCCACTGAGATTAAACCACGGCCTTCTTTACGACCGGGAACTTGGAGCTATAGTTAAAGCCTGGTTGGCTCAGCAGTGGATACATGACTAAAGACAGTGATTTTCCCTTCTCACAGAACCCGTTAATAGCGAATGGTCCTCCTCCTCGGCTGGCTGGTAGGGCCAGCCTTGTGTGGGTTTAGCGCAGGTGACTTTGGCTGTGAGTTAACGACTGCACTGGTTGTACTGTGTGGTGCTTAGTTTTTGGCAACTTGACACAACCTGGAGTCACCGGAAAGAAGGGACCTCAACCGAAGAGTTGCCTTGGTCAAGCTGGACTTCGGATTTGTCTGTGAGATACTGTCTTGATTGATGACTGGTTTGGAAAGGACCAGCCCACTATGGGTGACACCGTTCTTACGTAGGCAGGCAGGGTTGCGTAAAAAAGCTAGCTGAGCATGAGTGAGCTAGAAAACAGCGTGGCTTCTTAGTCCTGCCCTGACTTTCCTCGATGACTGATTGTGACCGAGAAGTACAAGCCAAACAAACCCTTTCCTCCCCAAGTTGCTTTTGGTCATGGTGTTTATGATAGCAAAAAAGTGAACCAGATCATACCAAGTGTAGAAAATGGTATTTCAGAGCTCTTTATCCTATTTTCCAGATCTTACATACTTCCTGCCCCTTATTCCACAATTTTCCATGAGTCTTAGAAGGGATGGTGTAAGTGACTGGTAAGGAAGGTCTACATCCTCCATTTATTCTGTGCACCTTGGGTGGCCATGAGTTTCTGCATTCACCACTATTCATAGGAGAGGCTGAGGGCTGTTTTTGTCTGTGGGTATATACAGAAGTGTTTAGAGGGCAGTTTGCTGCTAAGACACATCTAATCTATTCTATTCACTGCTTCCCTCAAGCACTCGGGCTGATCTCTAAGCCTGTACAGTGACAATAAGAAACCTCGAAAAGGCTATACAGGAAAATCTGACCACACATCAGTGTGTAGCTGAAAACGGGCATATGTGGGACGTGCGGGAAGCAGCAGTGAGACAGGGGACACTGGGACACTCACCTGGAGACCAAGTGGTGTAAGGGAACACCCAGGGACAGAGACAGGGATGGCCAGAAACCTGTAGGAAGCTGTAGTCAGAATGCTCAGGCAGAGGAGGAAGGCTGGGAGATGGGGGACAGGGGACCAAAGGGTTGGGTCACCTGTCCACAATGGCTCCATCTGATTGGCTGAAGCAGGCTCAAGTACTTCTCCCCTCTGAAGGAAGTGCTTTAGGACTAGCTGGAGCCGGCTTTCATTCAAGGTCTCCAGGACGAGGGCCCGGACTGCTCGGTAGTTGGCGTAGATGTGGAGAGCCGTCAGGAGGATGAAACAGCCAAGGCTGAGGCTGAGGCAACAGGGTAAGGTAGCTAACACACACAGGAAGAGGCTGAGCTGGGCGTCTCTCCCCCGGCCTCGCTCCTGGCTTACCTGGGGCAGCTGGACACCAGAGGAAGCATCAAAAGGCTGACCAGGAGCCCTGCTAGGTTCACCACGGTCTCCTGGAAAACAGCGGAGAAACTGAGCATTAGAGGGCTTCCCTTCAGGCAGAGGGGCGGCCTTGGGATCCTTTCTGCTTCAGAGCCAACCTGGGCTCCCTTCCTTAGTGGGAGTGCCATCTACATTTTTAATGTTTTGGGGAGTGAGCCCGCTGTTTAAAAGATGCTGGGAATTTCTCTGCTCAATAGACACAGCGTCCTCAGAACACCCGTGGGACATAACTTTGTTGCTTCCAAGAGTCATCTGAATTCCTACGCTGGGCACTCTTGGCTGTTTTTCTGGTTTTCTAAACAACTGGTTTTCTACTGTGTGTTGGGAAAGGTGGATCCCTCTGATTGCTTGGTTTCCAATACTGGCAACAAGGAAGCCCAGGAGGACAGGAACAGGCCTTGATCTTGACTTGTGAGCCAAGGAAACCAGAGCCCTAACAGCCAGATGAAGACATCCTGGGGAAAGCGCCCTGCTGCCGGCCCCAGGGCATTATTCAAGAGTATGACCTGGGATGCCTAACTACTGGGGTTCTGGGAAAAGCTGGTCTTGGCACACAGGGGCCTCCCGAGGCCCAAGAGCTCTTTTTGCTCCCAGCTTTCCTTGCAAGGAGGTAGGCCAAGGGAATGAAGGCTGCCTGCGTATGAGGTGGTAAGCCAGGGATGGAGGTGCTGGGGAGCTCGGGAACAGAAAGGCCCTGCTTTGGTAGGTAGACAGTCAGTTCCAGCGGCCGCGTGAAGGGCAGCAACACTATGTGAGCGTGTGAACGCAGGCACCTGGAGAAGCTAACCTCCAGACAAACGTGGAAGGAGCCAGGTTCAGAGGAAGACCCCCGCCTTCCTTTACCTCGGCGTCATCTGACAACAGCATTCTCCAAACAGTCAGAGAAATAGGGGGGGAGGAGGGAGCGTGTGCATGTTCACGAAAGAACAGCTTGGCTGGGTGCCTCATGAACTCTTTCCTCAGCTCCACAGCCCACTTCCTTTCTCGGTAGACTTTTACCCCCTTTAAACAATCTATTTCTATTCCAGGTCTGACTTAAAAGTTGTGATGTTTTTCTCCATCTTCCCTCCTGGAGATTGCTGGGATTTTTCACTTAACTTGTACTGTTTTTCTCTTCAGGTCTAATAAAA